TGACTTCCCGGAGAATGAAATTTACTGGAGCCAGTTTTGAAGTTAATAAAGGACATAAAGCATTTCTGGAACATCATCATCATCCACTCTGGAAAGCAGCTCTGATAAATGTGCATCCAGCACTCAGTTATACTGAGAAAGCATTAAAAGTGAAGGTGTAGCTTTAATATAGTCTAAGCGTTGCTGCCTGTTTGCTTGTTGCAGGTGCTGTACAGGCTCATTTGCCACTTTATTAGGTACGCCTTGCTAGTACTGGGATACACTCATTTTTGCCTCAAAACTTCCTGAACTCTTTGTGGTAAAGACTCAAGGAAGGTGCACTGTGGTCATATGGGGGGTTGGACATGGTCAGCAACAACACTCAAGGGCTCAGGAATGCCATAACATACCACCAACACCATTACACCCTCACCAGCAGCCTAAATTGTTGAATGTAATACAGATGCATCCGTGCTTTCATGTCATTTATACCAAATTGTGACCCTACAGTCTGTATGGCTCAACAGAAACCAAGACTCAGACGAATCTTCTGTTGTTCAAACTGTAACTTTAGTTCCCCGAGTGGTACCCAGTGGGGTCTTCTGCTGCCGGAGCCCATTTGTTCTCTGTAAAGCCTGGAGAAGCTTGTCTGGGCAAATTCCAGTAGATCAGCACTTTCTGAAATAGACCAACGCACCTGCCACCAAAAACATTTCCACAGTCAAAGTCATATAAAAGTGACGTTACTACAATCGGTCTTCTGTCCTCCAAGGTGACCACCCCCACACGGATTACTGACATGATCAGGATTAAGTGCTCAGGACTCCTCAGCTCTATCGCTTAAGACATTCAAATCTGTGCTCCAACTACACCATTTAAAAACCGTTTTTGCATTTTTGAGTCGTCCTTTGGTGAATTTTTGGTTTGTGGTCAATTCTTGCATCCAAATACTGACCACGCCCAACCCTGCTCAGCTTCAGAGATGAGACGAGATCGGACGTGCTCAGGGTGGTATGGCCGTATGCTTTGTGGTCACTCTCTAGATGAATGCTTCAGCTTCAGCTTTAACCTTCGAAGACGCAGCTTTATATTATCTTTAAATCACTTTTTCATATGATGAGAAATTCGCAGCTAAACACCGACGGCTGCCAGCTGTTCATGGACAAACTGTAGTTTTCCTCTAATGTTGGTTTGAACAGTTCGAGGAGCTGAAGCTAAATTTCTTTTTTAAGTCACTTTCTGCACTCTTAGGTAAGCATGACCTTTCTCAGGCATTGATCCTCTACTGCAAAACAGGATCAAATGTATGCTCTTCTAGTAATGGGGGGGGCATGTATTTACATTTTCATGTGACCTTAGCTTGGCTTATTGACTGGGCGTTAGTAGTAGCCTCTAAAGATTGATGATTAGCAAGCAACCACCATTGATGTAGCTAAAGCTCTTCCTTAACCACTGCCAGGTTAAAATCAATGCTTTGTATCTTATATTGACCTCACCAGTTGCTGTGAGGGTTTTACTTTCACGCAAAATTGCAAGTTATACGTTTTTTTTGGTAGTGAACTGTACTAAAATAGATTTACCTGGCACTGAGGGCATGCTTGATGCTGTTCTGGGCGTACACGGCACAGCTCCGGATGAGGAAGGCTGAGTCCAGGGATGCCGCTGAGTCTTCTCGCATTCCCCTCTGCAGTCTCCAAAGCACGTAAGCAGTATTCACAGGCTGTTGGGGGCATGATGGTAAAGCCGGATAAGTTTCATTGTAGATCCACATGCAGTACACATGCAGATTATTTTGTCCAGTTAGTCCAAAACCTCAATAATCAATGAAAAGATGCAATTATAAGTCTTATAAGTGCATCAAACATCTCACCTTTATATTTATACAAAGTGTTCCACAGGAATTGGGCAGAGACGAGCGGCCGCTCAATGAAAATGGTTTCTCCCTTCTTTATGCTCCTTTTGGCAAAGAGACCCTTGCCCTGTAACATGAATAACTAACTGTTACTGCAGCCTTCAGTCACTACAGAAAAGTTATAGACTATGAACATTTTACAAGAAATTAAAATGTAAATGACAGTGAGACCTAAAATGATTCATTTCTTAATCACTATGTTTAAAAAACTCA